CTTCGCCGGTTGAATAAAAAGAAGATGCTATGGAGTTGTGGTCCGCGTAGTTGAGAGACGCTAACTAACAAACAAACGAGGAAAACCGAAACGAAGGTTCACAGTGACCGAGCTTCAGATCACACGTCTGCGATATTTACAAACGCCAAATGAATACAATCCTCTAATGACGCTCGATGGTGGAGGCATCGAAACACGGGTCTGGGAAGGGGGCGAGGGGGTGCAGAAACATCATACGCACCACGCACACCAAAGGATAAAAAAAGTATTTTTTTGCGATCGAGGCTGAGAGCTGAAAAGTTAATTAATTCCTACATGGAAGCCGGCGCAGCGTCGAGCATCGGGAAGGTTCGTGTGGTCAGGGATAACAATGACGACGCACTGGGAGCGCCTGGATAGACTCTTCCTGCCACTCATCTGACCTGCACGCCCTCACTACACCACCTGAGCTAGGACACTGCTTTACTTTACTCCGGGGATGACCAAGCGAAGGAGACACGCGGGCCGAAAATGTTCACAACTTTTGGTGCATCCTTGTGCCCCAAAGCCTCGTCATCCCACACGTAGGTCCGACATTCGATATCGGAGATTTGTCTTTGCAGTAAATAGATTTAAAGATATTTGTAAGTATTTGCCAGTTCTTTCTATATTAGTACAACACTTGGTTCATTTCTCCACAAATTCGCTGAATTGCACAGATCATAAAAGAATGTAATTAAATATTCACGAGGTAGTTTCATTTATAAAACTACCTAATTATCAGAATCAAAGAACAAAAACACAACACGCCTGAGAATTTATATTTACAGAATTCTACCGACGCTTAAAATAAAACTTACTAAAGTCAATTATACTTGAGAATGCAAGTGTTTTACGTTCTTCAGAGGGAAATCCAACAACGAAGACATCGTTTCCTTCCGTAAAGAATTCCACTCCATCGGTACGAAAAAACACAGTACAGACTCCATGTATTGTTCAAGAATAAACACGCGTTATGATCATGAACTGACCAAGTTCGCATCTGCACGGCCAAGCAACAACGGCGACCTTGACAAAGGTCATGGAGGATGCTGGGAGAGTCAATTACACGGGGCAAACCTGTTTCTGACTTCATGTTCGTACCTCGACTGATTTAAATAGCACATTCTGTATAATACGCACTGGCCCATGTACGACGTCGAACACAAGAAGCCACACTTTCTCCAGACCACGATGAAGCTGTCAGATAAAAGACTCAGAAACGAAACAAAGTTTTACAAATGATTAACAGAGCAATAATTTATAATCGAGCCAATACAGAAAGCCTACACTATTGATTCTGGACCGTATCTTGATCAAAGGGTCTGAATTAACCCCTGTACTTGAATCATCGATCTCTGGAGTACGTGCAACTGGCAAGAGTCGACCGATGCCCCGAACGGATAAACAAGTATCAAGGCCATCCCATCAGCTGCTCTCTGAGAGGAGAACTGGCATAACCACGAACTGGACGGCTCGAGATTCTGCATCAGCGCTCAGCTGACCGTGGGTGTGGGTTCCACGAGGCCTTGGAGCTGCCCACTGCCACGTATTTATCACGCACTTTCATACCGCAGACATCTTCCTGTGTCATCAGAGTGGGCAGTGGCGTAACATGCAGACCGCCACTGAAGGGGGGGGCGTAGAGTAGCCTACTGTGTTTTTTCGATTCAGTTCGACCAATGACCACGCAGTAAACTCAAAATTGCAAATTACGTTTAAGCGAAGAATGCAGGGCCCATGAGAGGTGTAACCACAGGAACACCCCCCCCTCCCCCTCCTCCCCGGCTTCTGCACGGAACAAGACGTTCGGAGCAGACAGTCGATGAATCCTGCTGTGGCCCTATTTAACCAGTTCGCGTCATAATGCGCGGTTTCACGAAGATTTTTTCAATACTGGCTTACATTCCCGTGTATTAAGACGTCTCTTTCCAAGAGGTCTTCTAGCCACTTCTTTCCAATCCGCTTATAGTGTTGAGAAGTCTCGAACTTTTGAGTTTTATGCCCAAGTTTCACGTCTTGTGCAGAATAAATAGTTCACTGACGTTGGTAAACAATAAGGTTTGGACTCTGGGCACGCAAACACGTAGCATCTATGTAAAGATTATCCACAGAAACTTCGGAATTGAAAATTATGTCACTGAACAAGGATATTTAGCAGAGCCATCCATCCGCAAAACCGCATAATGAGTCAGCTGAGTCACTGCGCTGATACGAATCTGGCCAGAGATAAATGAATGGTGGGTTAGATAAAGACATTCATTGGGAGGGCGACTGTGAGGAAACCTCCAAAGCTCAGGCCGGCTTATCACCGCAGCTTCGCTCCTAGGGCTGTCCATGCAAAATTTGTGGCGGACAGTGTCATCCAGCACCTGGGGATGGATAGAAGCACAGCCCTTTCTTCACTGAACGTTCTGTTGGTATTTTGGGAGGGGCGCAGGCCTGACTAGTGATTTGCGCAATTCTGAACACTACTTCTCTCTCTCTCTCTCTCTCTCTCTCTCTCTTCAGAATACTCACGTGACTAGACCGTAACAGGTCTCGCAATTTCTCAATTTGGCCAAATGCGATTCGTACTCTGCACTAAAGGTCCGTGTTCAGAGCACGATTATGACATCTGAATTTGTTTCCGCTGTCCTACATTTCAAACCGGCCTCAAAACTGTAAAATTACCAGTTTTTCATTGCTGAGCATAAACCGTTTAGGCCGCTAGTAGTACGTTATTTGTACGACACTACACCAACTGCTGAGATTACGTAGGATCAAATGACAGCGATAGATCGTAAGCAATGCGGAATTTACAGACTGTGACCTACTGAAAACATTACCCCAGTATCTGCCTATAAGACATAATAAGTCCAGTCAGGACAAAAGGTTCCTGCCTGGGTTTCGAACCAGCTACCTTCATAATGCTAGTTACGCGTTACCGCTTTGTTAACTGGCTCCGCGTTAGTTGTAACCAATGCGTGGCATTAACCCACTGAAGCAGAGAGAGTTTCGGGATCCGTCCGACAGGAACACTTTCTACAAACAGCCTTCGTGGCTGAACTTCGTCCAAATATACTTAAGAATTTAGTCCGTACCGCGAAAAAACACACCACTTCGCCACTAGAAACATTAACTGGTTAACGCTGTTCAAAGAAACAGTCGATGTTTACGAAACCCAGAGCACAAAACGTGAAGTTAATGAGTGTTAAAACAAATGGTATACATTGTTACCGCTAGGCTTTAAATGGGCAAAGTCACACTTTCCTTTCGTGACAAGAAACTGAAATATGTTTGTTCGGGAAGGTTAGGACCGCTGTCTTGAGCACAGATTTCCACATGCTCTGCGGAGATTTCGCACTCTGTCACCTAAGACAAAGTTGTGATAAGAAGTTCGCAATTAGAGTCGAGGTTTAAGGGCCCCCCCCCCAAAAAAAAGGGCGGTAAAAATGACAATGAAACTTCGTAGTGAAAGAAGTTAAAGCCATCTCTCGTTAATTCGCCTTTGTGAAATCATCTCTGTCCGATATCCGCAAAAATGCGGTTCCAGAATGTTCCAGACGTACAAAGGTATTATTTTACACTGTGGAGAATTCCAGCTGCAAGTGAGTGCCACGGTTGCTACAAGCCTTACGTAACTCACACGTAACCTGTCACTGAAGCTCTGCTGCACTCACCGGTGCTCGTCATAACGCGCTCCTGTCGCACAAAGGTCGTCGTATTTTAAGGAATTCCTGCCTGGAAAACTGTTTCCCAGGGTCACTGTCAAACAGGCTAATGCTTATACTTCGCACGTGACCGGACATGAACGTGTGATTGATTTTGCCATCTACCTGTTGCAAATGGAACTAGAGCATTAATAATCAAAACCTTTGAAATATCCTGATACTAACCTAACCTAAACCAGGGCGAACGAGGGTACACTTTATTCGAACGTCGTAGTCGGCCTGTGCACAAACCAGACAGAATCTTGAGTAATCAAACACTTTTAGCTGCAGGAAAACGGTAAAATAATCCTCTTCATCCTATTAATCATCCGCCTACACTTTCAGTGTGTAACCAAGACTCACAGATCGAGCGATCTCCTCGTATATTTTAAAGTGAAGTACAGAAGCTTGTCAAACACCGAGTTGGACCGGTTCTGGATCCTTGTGAGGATGCTATGTACACTGAAATACAACTCTTCCCCATTATTGTTCACCCCGTCACAGCAACCAACTGCACAATAATGGGGCAAATTAATACATTACGGCTACCTAAAACAATAGCTTCTGAACCATTATTTTGTAATTGTATTTGGAAAACAGCCTGACGTACGGTGGGTTAACTGTTAACATATCAATAGGGACTGCTAAGTAGTCCACAATCAAAATCCATTTATATTTTGGTGTCGGTGGTAGTCTAAATGTACGCCCAATTAATCCAAAAAACAATTAAAATGGGGATTATGATTATATACATACATGCACACACACATACATAAAAATGTTTCAAATGTTCAAATACGCCAAATAAAAAGAACGCACCTCCAGTTAAGTAATTTTTGATCCCAATTTTACGGGGCCATCTTATTTTTCCTCACAAGTAGACAAACTACAGCTCCACAGTTCAGTTAATTGCCGCCTTTGTCCTTTCTGCTGTGTAATTGCTACCACTTCATTTATGTAATTTACTTAACACAAAGCTGAGTTTGTTAGCATATTCAGTTTTAATTCACGAGGAGTTCGTATAGAAAGATATTTTCAACAATGTACTTACTAATCAAAATTACGTAAACATGATAGTGTAATATGGCCTTCTCTGTTGTCACCATGACAAACAGCGCCCGCCATGCGTTTACAGATGAATGAAAACGCAAGCCAGCGAGAGGCTAGATACCAGCGGCAGTAGGGACTACAAGTCATTTTGAAAATCATCCAGTTTTGACATAACTACGTTATAGCAATAACACACAGAAAACCAGCTGTTACAGACATAAATGTGTCGTAATTACTTACCGAAAGAAATGGCTGTTTGATTCAGTAATTTCAAACAAATTCACACCACAAACAAACACACTACACGTTTTCCACCGCACCGATCGGAACTGATCGTCAAGACACAGCGCGCTAGTTCCGTCAATTGCCACTGGGAACGCTCTTAGTCGGAGCAGTCGATTCTTCCCACGGGGGAGGAGAGTACCAACTTCCTGCCAGTAACAAAACTGATGCAAACAAGTCCCACTTAAAGTTATGTACGTAAAGGAATCTGTGACTTAACAATCTGTAAATGGTTCATTTTTATTTCCACAACTACGACATTTAATTCGAATGGAGAATACGTTCTTTGTGTTTAAGGGCAATATAGTGTGTAACGTATTGTGGCAGAGAACAGAGTAGGGAAATTTTATCCCTGCCAACTTACAGATGATTTATAACCAACCAGTACGTGCTTCAAAAAGACTTCCCTAAAAGTTTCTGTTCTAATAATCAGCGAGAACAAGGAATGCCCACAGTTCGCAACTTAAAAAAACAACTTTCCACGAAAACAAACGTAACACAGGGGCAAACTGTTAGTAGCCTACAGCTGATATGCTTGTAATGTAGCCTGTAACTAACCAACTCCCTGGTAGCAGAATCCTATGGACCAACACCGACAAACACGACCCTGAGCCAGCTCCATCCATTTGCCATCCTCACAGCCCACCTCCCTAAGATCCATTATTATCCTGTCTCCTTCTTGGTCCGACCAGTGGTCGTTTTCCAGAAGGATTCCCTACCAAAATCTTGTGTGCACCCCTTGCCCCCCCCCCATGCGTGCTACACGTCTAGCCCATCGGAGCCTCCTAGATTTCATTATCGTCACTATGACCCGTACAATTCTCGCAGCTTCTCGTTATGCAACATTCTAAATTCCCCAGTTTTTTCATCTCTCTTAGGTCCAAATATTCTCTTGAACACCCTGTCTTCAAACACTTGTAATCTATGTTCTTCGTTAAGGTAAGAGACCATGTTTCAAAACCATACAAGACAACAGGCAAAATTATTGTTTTGTATATTCTTACCTTCAGTGTTTTGGATAGTAAAAGAGATGATAGCAGTTTTTGAATTGAATAAAAACAAGCATTTCCCATGTGTATTCTACTCTTAATCTCATCATGGACCTCATTTCCATCTGTTACTTAAATTTTGAAACACTTTCAAATGATGTGTTACTTATAATTATGTTCTGCCGCATTACGCCCATGTATTTGGTTTTGCCTACATTTACTTCTAGGCCTGACTTTGGCCCCTTTGGCACATAAAAGAAAAAATCAGTAACACAGGTCTAGGGCGGCAGGAACTCGTCAGACGGTACGACGCTACGACCCAGAAGACAGCCATCTTCAGGGGGAATTTGCTTCGGCAGCGAAACTTTGTTTCCCCCCTGCACTCTCAAGCGCACCCTTAAGACGAAGAAGAAGGCGTAGTGGGCGGACGCTGACCGTCCCTGGGCGACTGCAACTGTGTGAACCGCTTTGTTCTAAAGCCCTGGATATTTTTACATTCTTTATGAAACGAGGTAAATTAGTAGTTCTCAGCACCGTGCTCCCTGAGAAGCTAGCAGTCGCGTAGCTGAACAAAGTCCGTTATCGTGTTCACGAGAGTTCACCACTGCTTCCTGTCTGAAGCCAGATTAATCCATCTTAAAACCCTTCACACCGCCTAGAACAAAGTGCAAAAGTTGAACAAACCAACAAATTTTAAAGCCGTAGCTCGCAATTTTATTTATTTATTTCGCAAACGTGTTTCTTCGCGCCTGACTCTGACATACCTAGTCAAATGTTTTCGAACGAACGTAAGAAGTTTACTGACGTTTCGGGGGTCCCTGCTGCCTCCATCATCAGGGCGAGCAAGGAAGGGCGTGTGCCGCCCCCGGTTTTATTTCATTGTTTTGAGGAGCGCCAATATCCTGTCTGCCGCCAAATTTTAAAGCGAACTTTCTTCAGTCTTATTGGGCGCTGTGACGCAGATAATAAGATTAGCACCAAAAAATTCTGGCGCCAGATTCACAGAAAAATGGCGCTAGTTGTACGTATCCCACTTTACGTGCTTTCGATATACGCGGCGATTCACAGAAACGCAACCCCCGCGTATAACGAGAGTCGCCCGTTGTGACTGCAAAGCCTTTCCTCCTTGACGATGAGTCATCAATTCTTTCGCTTAGTTCGAGGCCTGACAACGCCCAGGAGCTTCTGGTGTCTGCCTGAATCACTCCTCACTTCACTTCTTACAGAGACGAAGTTGTTCCTCTCTCCTGTCTCCTCGCCTCAATAACAAGCTGACATTTCGCTTTCTCTGAGCCCGCGTCCAAAGCCCCCCCCCCCCTTCACCCTGGACGCCTACCCCTTATCGGCATCTTCACTTACTCCCTTGGCCCTTATTCACTTTCTTTGTCCCTTTCAACTACCAAAACCCTTTCTGAACTTACATTCACCATCTACGAAAGAACATTTCAAAATGGGATGGATGAGCAACGTATTGTGTATGGTCGTAGTCATGGAAACAAATTCATCACCACTGTAGAATAAGGGTATCCATAGCAACGCGCTACAGCGGTCACACACACTAGGAATGCGCACACTTTACTGGATCGTCAACAGGCATTTTATTACAGTCCCTCGTTCTTCGAATACGCAAGTGTTTTACAAACTAAAGCTCGCCGTTCACATTTGAACACGAAGATCAAATGGATCTGTGCCTCCACGCCTCTTATGCGCTTTGGCGGCGTGGCTGTTGAGAACACACGCAGTTCTATACAAATTATCCTATGTACAAAATAACATTACTACAAACAAAACGTGTACAAATCTCTCAGACATTTTAACAACACTTAGCACACTTATTACACTCAGACTTTTAATCACAGGTACAAGCTATTTCGTACGCCAGGTCTCAAAACACGCCCGTTTGAACACAGGCTTAACAGATCACGAGAAACTGCACGAAATATCAAATAACAACTCGCCTGATTCACTTCGCAATGTTACCGAGCATCAAACGGCGTGTGTGCGCCCCTTTAAACCATTCCTTCCTCGTCAGTTGTCCCACAGCGACCCTGCGCCTACAATAAAGCCCACTGGCCTGCTGATTGGGGCCTCTCAATGGTCCCCAGGGTCCAGCAAATGAGCTGCAGAGTAACGACGCCTAGGACAGGCAACGAGACTTCTCCTGACGCAGGCCGACCGGAAGTGCGTTCATTAAAACAGCCTGCGAGAAGCTGCCACATGTTTCCAAGACACAGGACGCATTGAAAAAGAAGAAGAAGAAGAAATGGGGGCGAGGGGCTGGTGGTCCCGCCGCCTGCAAGACGTGTGCGTGCGAGGAAGTGGAGGGACATCGCGGAGGCAGACTCGCGTGCGTCCCTTCAACAAATTCATCAGTGAGAATTTCGACAGTGAACGACCTACCAACAAACCAGCAGATATTACTTACCAATCTCAAAACCATTCTGCAGTTAGAAAAGTTAATTAAAATCTTTCAACTCCAACTGCTCGTTTGTTAATAGAATCTACAGTCTAACAAGGTTCTACTGACCGAAAGCAGTTAGTTAGTTAGTTAGTTGTAGACCGAGGAGTGGAATGTTTTAAGATTCCTCCCAACATTCTTCCGGAGAGGGACCGCAGAATATCAGCGACCTCGAGGCGCTGTGAGCCGCCATACTTGAGAAAAGTACAGATCAGTTCTTCTGATACAAAATTTGGTTGAGCCATATCTCCAGAGGCTTCTCACCAAGGAGTCCCGGGTTGAGTCCCAGGGAACTTCGAGTGAGAATCTTGGTGGACGTCTTTCTCAGAGCAGTCAGGGTTCTCAAACGTGAATCACCACTGCTCCATCCACGCTCGCGTGTCCCCCCCCCCCCCCCCCCCCCCACTTATGGGGCTTCATGTCTGATGGGGCACTTGGGTGGTTTCGGAGTAAAGGCAGTTCGGAAGTTGAGTTTAAAATGAACTTGACTGTTGCAGAGAGATCAAAATCTACGTTCTTCGTCTGCACTTGTAAACAGATTCGTGAGTTTACAAATTTTACGAACGACTTAATTTCGGGACGAAGTACTCTGAAAACAGATACGAACTAACGCGTGTCTCGTGGTAAATGACCTGTTTTTCAAACTTGATGTAAAATTTTATTATCAGCTACGCGTTTAAAATCTCCGTGACATTTCTAAGTTCTTGGTAGTAAAAAAAATAGCTTTATACACTGGATATTAATCTTACTTCTGATGGTCACTGGTCTCCGCACACTGCGTTCGGCTTCATACATTTATTTATAGATACGTCGATGTGCGTATCCTGTTCTGCGATGCCAGCGCAGTGAGGGCGCTCTGCCCCTCAGAAGAAAGCCACGCTCCGTGAACTCAGCGAGCGCCGTTTCTCCTGGGCACTCGACGCCTGATTTCAGTTTAATCGATGAGCAGTTCAAAGCGCATCGCATTCGACGGCTGCTATCAGGCCTACTGATAATAAAAATGATTTATTTAAATTAAGATGGCTGTCTTCTGGGTTCTTGTGCCGTAGCATTGAAGGGCACAAACAACGTAAAACGCCATATTGACAGACCAAGACGCTGAGCACGAGGAAACAGAATTGCTCTTGGAACACAAACATCCAGCCATTACTTTGGCATGAAACAGCTGTCACACCTGTGGCAACAGATGAAATGGGTGCATTGATCCAGCCTTGAAAAAACAGAAAGAATTTAATGCGAAATTACGCTATGAAGCTTATTAACTTTCCATGCAACGAAGGAGGATTAGAGTCTAACTCCGACGCGACCGCTGGCTGTCAAGAGACAGTCCATGGTACAGAAAGCCATCCTCGCACACCAGACGGATTGAAAAGATGATATATTATTATTATTGTTCCATCTATTCGCCACTTTACAGAGTATTTACTTATGTGTACCCGAGACAAACTTTGCCCCTGAGGTACTTAGGGCAGCAGCTATTTCCGAAATACATTTTGTTTTTAATACGTGTTACATGTATTATACAGTTTTGGTGTTAGAGATGACTATATTTTACGACAGCGTCTTTCGAATGATGTTTGAAGATACTAAAATGGCGGTCTTCTGAAGTTCCCTGATGTCGTGT